CTGTTATTTTTACCTCCACCTGTCAACCACTCTCATCCCTTTAATTGACTGCAGGTTGGGGGTGTGGGGGGGGGGTCAATGTGGCTCCTGTCTGTTTGACACCATACAAGCCCCCCATCCAGCTGCCCCCGCCACGGAGCAGACGTATCTGCCCCCCCATCATACCTGACATGACATTTCTTGTCCTGTTGCCATGGCAGCAGCCGTGCAGCTGGACTCCTGTAATCATCAGGCTCCAAGAACCCGTGGGGTCACAGACGGGGTCATCCTTCACCACCGTCTCTGTTGTCACTGCAACAACAAAAGGTCCTGAAGGAGACAGTGACTGACAGCACCGTGGTCCACCACCGTGGTCCATCAGTCGGCTCCAGGACCGTTGGTGGTACATACATACACGGACAGATGTTCTGTTTAAATATATATTGTTGAACGTTGTTGACAGAAGAGACGACTCCAGAACATAGAAACAAATTTAAGCCTTTATTGGAACCTGGCATTAAATACACAAATTCTATTTTTTCATAATTTGGAATTATAATAATAATAATAATAATAGTAATAATAACGGGGGGGGTGTGGTGGTCTGACAGTCAGGTCTCAGGTCCCTGACTAAGTCCAGGGTGTTTCTCTGAGTCAGTGGAGAAATGAACCCTGCAGACGTCAACCGACCAATCACAACAGTCGACACAAAACAAAAGTTCTCCTATCAATAGTTCCACTGTGGCTTAAAAGGACATGTTCTCACTGGAGTCTTTTTTGGAACCGTTATCCGTCAAAGGCTGACATATAAAACTTTATGGTTTAATGAAATATAAACAAACTCTTCTCCTGATTCTCAGACTGGACCAGAACCTAGAACAGACGTGTTCTGGTCTGGAGACCTGTGGACATGAACAACATGTAGTGTGGTCAGGAGAACTGGACCACGGTTCTTCACACAGAGACACACACCGCTGTCGGAACCATGATCGGCACCAAGCTCCACAGATAAAGGAGGTTCTAAGGTTCTAAGATCAGAGAACAGAGGAACCACTCCTCCTCCAGCCTCACTCACATCGTTTTATTCTAGATCTATCTTAACATCCCATAATGCCAAAGCTGAAGAAATGATCAAAAGCACAAAAGCACCACCATCTCCAACATCCACAACAACCCCC